TGGGCATGTGCAAGATTGGCCCTGTGAACAGTAGGCATGGATGAGGGGCATCACTGGGCCTTACCACTTAATACTGAACAATTGGATTGACTGATTGTGGGAGAGGTAGGGTCTTTGTCTTCAGTTGTGGAACCACTACTGAGCTTGCCAGACTCCAATGGATGTCACACAGATGGTCTTGGTTAAACTCTGGAAGTTGACACACAAAAGGAATGGGCAGCAGCGAAGTTTAGTAGGGCTATTACAAGGGGTGGAGTTAAAAGTGGTCACTATGCACAATGTATATCATGTAACTGTACATATAAATTTGCAAAAATACAAATTTAATTAATAAAATAATATTTTTTTAAGAAAGGAATTTAGGCTTACTTTGGAATAGTATGACCAATACTGAACCCACACTTGAATATTCCATTTTCTCTCTGTTGTCAGTTTTTTGTAGGTTGTGGTCTCTACATTGTCTGTAGTCAGTTCTATCTATTTTGTCTGTGTCACCAGGACTGCTTGATGTCCTTCTGTGAGTCTCTCACAAAGGGCTTTTGCTTTGCCATTAACTAAATAGTGAAATCTTCAAGAGTTTTATAAGAGATTTAAATCACCGTGTACAGCTAAAATTTACTGACTCCATCTGAGCATTGAATGACCCAAATAACAAACAGTACCACAAATGCCTTTTCATAATTAATATCTGCATTATAATTTCAGCATTGATGGTGGATTATTTTCAAGGCCATTATCTACTTATTTCCTGTTTTCAGCAAATGATTATCAAAACACACATACAGCCACATACATTGCTCTCTGGTTCAGGGCTTCAAGAGCGCCTATCTGAAGATCAAAATTATGTATCAGGTTAGAATATAAAAGCTCTTGACATAGGCAATGTATGGCAAGTAAGGTTGGTTGTTCCATAGTTTTCTTAAATGCTGGTTAAACAAACAAGCTGTGGTCACAGTAGGGTATCAACCTTAAAACTTAAGTGACTTCATGATGTATTATTAACTCTGGATTTGGGGTCCAGAAAATATTCCAGTCTCTTTGAATTTAAGAGTTTTTTCATTGTAGTCTAACTTTATAAAACTAGTCTTCCACTCTAGAATTGGACACCTTGACAGGTAAGTCACAAAGAAATTGTCACCAAAAAATGTGCTATGATCCTGAGGAGACAGGTTTGGAGAGACACATGAAAATTAAAATTACATCAATCAATTTGAGGTCCTTTTTTTTAAATCTGCACCTTTCCCTTAGGGGAAGATCAGAAGATCTGAAGAAGTGGATAAGACAAGATGGAAGCAGGACACAGGAGAGTAGGGGATGGAGAATATATAAACAACACATTTTACATATGTATGAAACTATCAAAATTAATGGCAAAAAAGAGAATGGCTATCATGGAAAAACAAAAGACAATAAATGACAGTAACAAACTTGAAAAAGAGGAACATTTACATGCTTCCGGTTGTCACTTAAATTCATTCAGTTGCTATGAAAACCAGCTTGGAATTTCTTCAAAATGTTGAAAGTAAGACTAGAATTTGTCCTAAATATACCACTCCTGGTGCACATCTAATGAATTCTAAGTCAACACACCAGAAAGCTAGTTACACGTCCATTTTTATCACTGCAGTATTCACAAAAGAGAAGAAAGGAAACAAGCCTAAATGCCAATCAACTGATACATTGATAAAGAAAACATGGCAACCCATGGAAGAGCTGGAGGGGTTGAAGGAGCCAGAGTGTTTGAGGACACTGTGATAACATGGCCGCTAGAATCAACTAAGCAAGGCTCAGTGTCTCACAGAGCCTGAAACAGCAATCAGAGACTGCATGGGTCTATG